AGAGTGTATGAATCTGAATGAATACTGATCAAGACTGCTTTCCCCGTCCCCCCAACCTTTCTGCCTATCACAGAGATAAGTATTATGTGTCATGAAGGCATAATAGTATCATATCAGATGATGGCAAAGTGTCATCGGACTTCTTATATAAATTAATATTTCTGCTTTTGTAAACTTCTTTAGAATCAGTCAGTTTGTCAGGCTGCTACACAGACTGTGGATAATTTAAACCAGAAAAAGTTCTCAAATAATGAGAGAAGAATCAGCAAGTGGACAGCAGAGGTGGAAGAGCAGAAGGATAAAGGTAAAAATAAATGTTTTTAGATCAAGGGGGTTTTTTGTTTGCTCGTTTTATTACCAGCCCCAGAATTTATTCAAGATGGGGCATCTGTTTATGCAGTGAGGGGAAAATTATCATAATAGTGCCAAACAGCTAGGCTCAAGGTAGCAAAGGTGTGGTTTGGGAAGAAAGTACATGTTTTCCTGCTTTGTGAATGTGGCTGAGAGAGCAGGCTCCTTGCTGGGATTTTTGTAGTAAATGGGAAGAGGAATGAGAGAAATGAAAAGACTATCGGAGCCACCCTAAATTAGATCCTGTTGAAATTCTAGTGAGCGTGGCAGAAAGTTCCAGTGGCAGGAGTATCAAGAGTGCTTACTGGAGTCAGGAGAAAAGCAGGTAAAAGTATTCAGTGCAGCATGGTTAAGAATTAGCATACAACAGTATGGAAAGAGGGAGAAGGTGGTGTACAGAAGAGTTGAAAAAAATCCCCCTGTTCACAGTTGAAAGAGCTGTCACATGGTCAAAATTTGTTTGGGTTTTCTCCTTCCCCACAGTCTGTTATAACACTCTTTAGCTTCTCTTCATTGACTCTAAGCTTTTCCTGTTCTGTGAGGGAGTGGAACATGGCAGTAATAGGTGAAAGCTGTAGTTGTCAGGAGGGAGGTAGTAAATCTTTGCTAAATGCAACTGATAGGTGGGTTTTTTTGTTGTTTTGTTTTGTTTCTCCCCCCCCCCCCCCCCCTCTAGATAGAACTGACATTTCTAATTGAGAACCCGTCAGCTTTGCCATAACTAAACACTGAATTTGGTCGTGGCTTCTTCCACTTCCCCCCACCCCCTGACTAAATAATAATAAGCCTGTTAGCCTCCTCTTAGAAGCTGTTCCTTCCCTCTGTTTTTTGATTTTTTGTTTGTTTGTTTGGGTTTTTTTGTTCCCTTAGTTCTGGCAACAGCAGAGGCATTGCTGTTGTGTATTAATGATACTTGTGCTCCTTAGCCCCTCTTCCAACATGTAATGCCTTCTTGAATAGTCTCACAAGTACTCATGTTACCTATTTTTCATTCTCCACACATCTCAAAACTTGTTTCATTTGAAAACTTGTTTCATCAGCAATGCCAAAAAGAATGTTGATGTAGAGAAAGCTCTTTACTACAGTGTCATGATAAGTTTTGCTGAAGTGCATGGCACGTACAGCTTTCTCTGTTTTTTGTGACGCTCTGGATTGTGTTGCCTCTTCTGAAATTAGGTTAAAAATCCTACAGGAATAAACTCTTACTTCCTTCTGAGTATTTAGAGATTCCTATTGGTGCTTGGGAAATTGGCAGTAATTCTCATAATCAATATGGTTTTAATTTACATTGTTGTCTAGTTGTGATGGTGCATATACTAAGCTTTTAAAAAGTGCATATCTCTTTAGCAGCTACTATTAAACTTACGTGCATGAATTTGATTGACAAGCAGTGGTAACCAGATTTGAACATAAGCTAGAATGTGAAAAAATTGTACAGGTCTTACTATATGGAGATTACGCCATGACTGTTTTTCAACACTGCCCCCCCCCGCCAAGTGTTTGCTGGTGCTTGAGGAATTAAACTTTCTGCATCAGTCTCAAAACTCTAGATCTTTGAACCACTGAAACCTTCTAAACTGATCTATCTTTTACTCAAGTCAAAAGTAGACAAAACTTTAAGCTTCTGTTATGTTAATGCTTGAATATGGAAATGCAGATCAAAACATTTTCCCTTTAAGCAAAGTACGAACTTACTTCTTTTTCACTAGGAGGGATTTAGGATGAATGATAGGTGTTGAGAGAGACTGGTACATTTCTTTCCTGCTTCCCCCAGGCATCACTGAAATGGTTAATAAACATCAGTAAAGAACTCCTGTAGAGCTTTGAAACCCCAGGCTGAAGTAGCTGCTCTGTTACTGCCCTAGCAACTGTTTATTTTAGGATGCTATGATCTTTGATAAAAATGGAAGTTTAAGTTTTCTGAAGTAATATGTGCTGAGGTAGGTTTTGTTTTGAAGGTTTAACTTTGGAAAGACAAACTTTTAACTGGCTTAAGTTGTGATAGCCATAAATGGTGTAATGGTTCATTTACTAGGTTATGTCTTGGTGTTACAGAGTCAAATTCCAGGCAGATCCACTTAAGTCAGAAGCTTGAGCCAAATTCATCTGAGGTAATCTTAAAGAAAAGACCAAATTTTTTTTTTAATGTTATTGCTTCTCTGATACATGATTAGCAGAGCAATAGCTGCCTTTAGAGCTGTGATTGCTGCTGCTGCTGCTTTACAGCTTTTAGTGAAATACTTCTAAGGTTGGAGGCTTGTATTGCTGTCAGCTTTCCTCAGCCCCTGTAACCCATACTTATAGTCTTTCTGTGCAATCTGAGTTCTCAAATCTGGGCTATCGAGACCACTTACGAATCTGGATTTGTAATTGCTTAGTACAGTCTGTACTTTCAGTATAATGGGACCATGAAAGATCTGATGTTTACTAATGGCTACTGTGCTAACAGACCATGATCTCTGAAGTTCAGCGAAGATTTGTGGCCTCTTGTTGGCTTTTAACCTTTGCTGTCCTTTCAATGAGCAAAATGTTACACTAGTATAACAGTGATTGGGTGCTTAGCCCACTTTGTATGTAGTGTGGTTTAATATCTTTGAATGAATCTTTGAAAAATAAATTTTACTATTACACTAGCTGTGTCTGTTGTTTCTAACTTTGCTTTAGAAGAATAGTCAAGATGAGAGTTACCCAAAAGCTTCATCTCCTTTGGAACAAGTAAAAACAGATTCTCCGATTCTTGCTGAGCAAGTAAGAAATGTTTGTTTGATTTCAAAGTTTTCCAGTCAGGAGACTTCAGACAAAGGGGAGCTTCATCACCGCCACGTATGTATTATAATACTGGCTTTTAATGACATAGTCATTTCTGTGGCGATAATGCTAAAATTTCATATTTACAGTTAGGAATCTGTTACATCCAACATAAAGAATGTAAAAGGACAACCCGTGATAGAAAAGTAGAAGTATATCCTTTTTCCTCTGAGAGGGGGGTTATTTCATACCTTTCTGCTAAGATAACCATGCTTTTCACTTTAAATTCTTTACCTTTGCTTTTTCAGGTTTCTCCAAGGTTATTGGTAATTGTTTGTGAGGGTGGCTTTTCTTTTGGGTGGGAGATACTAAATTTAATGCTTGTGGAGGTGGTTATAACACTGATGGCTGGCTGTGGTACAGGCACATTCTGGATAGAACGTAGTGCAGAGTTCTTCACGCAGTGATGTAACTTATCTCTGTCATGTATACAGCCTGACATGTTACTAGTTAATATTTTGCTGTGGTGATGGTGGAGTCTGGATAATACTGAGTCATCAAGTCATCTAACAAGTCAGACATGTTAGGGGTCACCAACAGCGGTGATTTAGAATAATTTCATGTGATCTCTTTGTTTTTATAGAACCTGACAGAATGCTTACCAAGCATAACTCCCTCACCAGTCTTTTCTGAGGTGCATTTACCTCCAGCAGTGCCTTCCGTACCAGCCATCGTGCCAGCTTGGCCAAGTGAGCCAACAACCTATGGACCAGCAGGTTTGAAGAAATATTAACATAAATCAGAAACTACTAACCCTGAAAAATACTTTTAACTGTCTTGCTAAATTTAAGATGCCTCCAGGAGACATTGTTTCATATAACCTCACATTCCAAAGGCAGTCATTTGTAGGAATATAGTTTCTCACTGCTGAAAGCTAGTGAGAGTTCTCGTAGATCTTTGATTGCCCACGTGTATAGTTTGCTTTACTCCCTACCTGAAGGTGGAAGACGGATGCGTACTCAATTGTTTTTGTACTGAGTGGGATAGCATCAGGTTTTGAGGGGGCTTATTCTGAGGGTCTGCTTAAGGTAGAACACATGGTCAGCATGTTGAAGCTTGATGTGTGTTTGTGTTCTGTGTCCCATGTAATAAGCTCCTTGATTCATTGAGGACTCACCTTGGGTGTGGTATGTCTGGAACTAATGAGATCCATTCGGACCTGAGCTGCAACGCCAGTATAATGGTTTTCCTGTGCTGTGCCTATCTTCTGATATGTGGAATTAGCTTAGATTCAGTATCGCTCATTAGATCAGGTGCTGTACTTTCTCTCCTGCTGTTGTGTTTCTGTACAAGAACTGGCTTTCAAACTGGCAGACAGTCTTCACATGATACAGTAGTAATACTGTCATACTTGACCGCATCTGTGACAGAAGATGCATAGCCCAGTTAATCTGAGCTCAGACTCAGAGCTGACTGTAAATGGCTAGTCAGAGTGAGACCTGCAGAGATTCATTTGTAAGTTTCTGTTGCCCCCTTTTTTTCCCTTCCTATTTTCTTCTGGTATTCATAATTTTAAAAAATAAATACGGGAAGGGTTTAGCTATTTCTGGAAAGCTTAACTGTTTTACTCTTTCTAAAAAATTTCTCTACATTTAGCCAAATCTTCTTTTGTTTGTAACTTCCTGACATGAGAATTTCCTCCTATGTCTTCTGGAATACCTTTTTTTCTTTTTTTTTTTTTTTCCCTTCTGTCTTTTGAAACTTGCTTTCCTGCTGTCATTTTCTTTTGTGATTGCATATAGTTGAGGTGTATATGTGTTTTCTCCCTTAGGTATTCCAGCCCAAATACCTGCTTCTTCATTGATGCCAGCCCCAGCAACGGGACCTGACTCTATTGTATCACAGGCTCAGGTAACATCTGCTCCAGTTGCTGGAGTTCCTGTGTCGCTACAAGCAGTTAACCAGCCTTTAATGCCTTTGCCTCAGACTCTGAATCCTTATCAGGATCCGCTATACCCTGGATTCCCTTTTAGTGAAAAGGGAGAAAGAGCTGTTGCACCCTCTTACTCCCTGTGCAATACTGGGGAAGACTTACCTAAAGGTGAGAAGCTAGAACAAAGTCTGGATTTTATACCACTTTTTCCTAATAGGTTTTCTTTTCTTAAAATGGAGATAAAGACAGCTTGCTGCTTTTTTAAGTGTTGTTATTCTGTGTCAAAAGATCTAATTGTTGTCATACCATGATTTAAGGTGTGGGAGGGAATACTGAATAGAGTTGTAACTCTAGTTTGCATTGCTAACATTGCCATTATTTTAAGTGGTTACACCCAGAAATCTGATATGATCATTATGTGGCTCTTAGCTTGACCCACCGTAACTTGAGGTTTTGTGAATGTAAAGGACTTTCTTTGGACAACTGCTTCCTTTTACAGTAACAGGTTTTTTCCTGTAATCAAAAGCTTGGAAGTTCTTGAGCATTTCCTTACTGATCTGGGAAAATACAAGTTTTGGCACACTACAAATATGGAATATGCCCATAAAGAACATATCGTGTCTGCACGGTCGTGTTTGTTTACTGAACTATTTCTTTAAAAACTAGAAATTCAGTTCCACAAACTGCTAAAACTGAAGTTTTAACTGCAGTTGTGTTCTAGAGATCTTACTGTGGCAAAAAAAAAACCAAACCAAAACAAATCAAAGACATGCAAGCAGCAACTTGATACCACCGTTTCTCTACTGAAATGGCACTTTATGCAGGGACTAATTTTTGGATCAGATGAAGTGTAGTATTTTAGGTCTTCATAGATCTTTTTCTGTTTTTTTTTTTCCCTAGATAAGAATATTCTTAGATTTTTCTTCAATCTTGGTGTGAAGGTAACTCTTCAAACTTACTTATGTTTTTGTGTTTGTTATACCATAAAATTTGCTTGTATTTGGTAATACTTAGAGTGCAGAAGTTTGGTTGCTGCAGCTGTACACTTCAAGTTCATCTTCAAATTTGAAATACTTTCTTATTTTGTCTTCTATCAACTGGGACCCCAACAGTGATCCACATTGCAGTTCAAGTCAACAGAAATAAAATTTATCTCAACAGTGATAGTGAGAACTGTTGGCTTCCAACTGTGGCTATACAGTCAACAGATTGTGCTTTAGAAATTCACAGGCAAACCATTGTGAGTTTGAAGATGCATTCTTTCGGAAGCAGTGTACAGTAAGAGAGAAAAGGCCCTCTGACTTTGGCCATGTCTGTGTACCGGCAAAGCCATTGCAGTACAAATACCTAGTATAGGTTTTCCTGTGGACACTCCCTGAAGTAACCTGCATGTCTGTCCTTTCTGCCTGAGTTAAGGACAACAGTATTTTACTTCTAACCTTCTAAGTAATTAAGCAGCGGTTGATGTGTATATGCGGTACAAATCTGCATGTGTGGTTGGGGAAGAGGCTTATCCAAAAAAGGCAACATTTTCCATTTCTTGGTAAGGACTAGTTGTTTGCTTAGTTTCTCCTTTCTGCACATAAAAATGTTCCTTTTCTACCTTCTCTTACTCCTTCTGTCAGGCAAACTACTGTGGAAAAGGTGCTGAGAGCTCTCAGGCTTATTCCACATGACTTTGGCCATAAGTAATGCTTTTCTTCGGTGTCTCTGCATGGAAAGAGGGAATGTTCAGCACAGCTTACAAAGTAAATTTAGATTTGATAACTGTGTGCCTAATGCAAGTCTCTTTGCTTAACAGAAGATCCATAAGTTGTTAGCAAAGTGTCACTGCAATACATTTAAACAGAGTTTGTTTTGTAAGCCTACATAGATTTGGGACTCTCCTTACTGGTACTTTGTAGTATTTAGGATATAGTCTGTCATTTTGGTGCTTCAGCACCATCTACTGGTCAAGTACCCCTTAGAATCATAGAATCATAGAATGCCTTTCTAGTAGTTGTGCTCCTCAGCTGGTGACCAAATAGTATGGTAGACCTGGGAGCTACTTTCTGCATGACCCTGTCCCTCTGCCGTCTGCTTTGGTCCCAGATCCTGCCGTGCTGTTACCCACAGCCTCCCAGCTGCTCGTTCAGAGTGAACCGCCTGGTTCCCCTTGAGAGGAGCTCTGGGCAGGCTTCTCGGGAGGCTTTGCTCCAGGGACTGTTTCTATGGATGGCACAGGCAAGACGGTGCCAGGTTTTGCCCTCTGCCTACTCCAGTGTTTTCTTAGACAGCCTTGTGCCTCCAGCTGCCTTGCATGGTGTTCTCTGTGGCCTGAAATAAGTATATTTGGCACATGGTATTATACAACCATCCTACAGTGATGCTCCTGGACCAGTTGCAATGTACTGTAGTATAAACGCAAAGTCTGCATTTAGAAACTCTAAGTCTGAGCAACGTAGCCATAAGCCACCGTGTGCTAGTTAGTTAACCAGGATGGAGAGGAAAGGGAAGGGGGTCCCCGCCTGAGGTGGATGACTTCAGTATTGTGAACGTAGCTTGTGTTTGCTAACGGCACAGAAAAGGCTGCTGCTGAAAACGGGGTGTGTCCATTGTGGGACTCCCACAGTAGCTGGAACGTGTGTTGTGTGTTCTAATCAAACCTATCTCCCTACTTTATGAAAGAGCTTCTAGGAAAGCTGATCTGTGGGTTGGGTATATATACATGTATTTCAATCTTCACAAATTGTCCTTGGGGAAATGATCTAACTTCGGGTCTTGGTGTAGGGTTTTGGTTTTGTTGTGTTGGTGTGTGGTTTTTTTTTTAAAGTGGAAATATGTGCATGGTATGACTTCTTGTTGTTTTGATTGTTATCCCGTAGAATTTTGAAAAGTGAGCTGGTAGGGCAAACTACAAATTAAAAATTGCAATTCTGGAAAACTAATTTGAAATCTGTGTCTTCAAATGCATAGCTGAAGCTTGATTAATAGCATCATGTGTTTAACTATATAGAAATTGCTACCAGGTTTTCTTACTGGTCATAACTGTTGCCCATTGCAACTGCATTTGGAAGGAAAACAAAATACGAGAACATCATCCTGAAGTCCTACATACGAGAACTGAGGGCAGTTGCTGTAAATAAAATTAACCTTTACTTCCAGTAATTAACTGTTTCAAAATGGTAAATGACCTGTGTGCTATTATGTCTGTCTGAACATTCAAAAGACCAAATACTTTCTTTTTTTTTTTTTTTTTCTCCTTCCCCTTTCCCCCCGCTCTTGCAGGCATACAGTTGTCCCATGTGGGCACCCCATTCTTACTTGTATCCCCTGCACCAGGCCTATTTAGCTGCTTGTAGAATGTATCCAAACGTGTCCCTTCCTGTGTATGCGCACAACCCCTGGTTCCAGGAGGCTCCGCCGACTCAGAATGAAAACGAAACTGCACGAACAAACAGGCACTTTCCTGTTCCGAGCGAGGCCAGATCCAATGGGCAGATTCCACAGGTTGATAGCAGATCTCCATCGCTGCCTCTGATTATACCTACAGCTCAGGTGTCGGAAAGTCAAGGACAGGTCTGCGTAGAATCGGAGAATCTAGTGCAAGCTCTGCACGCAAACTATGAGGAGTCTCTGAGAGGGAAAAGTATGTTCCCGCAGCCACCCTTTGGACACAATCACTTTTTAGGAGCTGTTCCAATAGCACCTCCTTTCTTTCCTCACTTTTGGTATGGGTACCCAGTCCAGGGTTTCATTGAAAATTCAGTAGCAAGACCTAATGTTGTCATGTCCCCCGAGGACAAAGAGGCAACAGCCAGCACCTCTGCGAATGTGTATGTGGCTAAGGCGTGCAGCCCTCCGGTTCCTGTGGCAAACTGTGCAGAAGAGCTTCAGAAGACTAACAGCAGTGGCGGCTCGAGCACCCTACCGTTCCCTGTGGCTGGTGCAAGCGGTGAATGCAGCGCCCCGAGAGAAACTTCAGCTAGGGCACCTCAGTTGGAGCAAACTTGTCCTTCGGCTTCTCCTGCTAAGCAAAAAACAGCTGGGCAGCAAAATCGTTCTCCGCAAACGCAGGGGACCGAGAGGCAGGCAGCAGTGCCCAACACTCCGCCGCTGTCGGCAGAACCACCGAAAAATGAACTGAAAAATAGCGTTCCCAGTCGCAAGGAGAAGACTGATAAAGGTAGAGATTCCAAGGGCGCTGGAAGTCTGCAGACAGAAAGCCGGGCACAGAGAACGAGGGAAGAGAGCTCTGAAGATGAGAGTGAAGTGTCCGATATGCTGAGAAGTGGTAGATCCAAGCAATTTTACAACCAAACTTACGGAGGAGGCAGGCGGCCTAGACTTGAGTGGGGTTATTCCAGCAGGGGAGGATACCAGTTCCAAAGAAATGAGGAAGCCTGGAAAGGACCACCCAGCAGAAGCAGAGATGACGGCTACCAGTATCAGCGAAACTTTAGAGGGAGGCCATATAGGAATGACAGGAGAAGGGCAACGCTGGGAGATAATCAGAGGGGGCATCAAGCATAGAATGAATGGATAATTGAAAATTTTAAAATGCAAAAAGTAATTTGAAGTAGCAGTTTAAAATCTTAACCATTCTTTTTAGTAAAGTTCAAGGATATGTTTAACTTCTGGTGAGTAAAGACTAGGAGGATGTGAACTCCTACCATAAGGTTTTTTTGGGATTATAGAGTTTGTTTGGCTTAGCCTTTTTTCTTCAATGTCAAATTAGGGGGGGGGAAAAAAAAAAAAATAGGTTTAGTGTTTGATAATCCCCCCCCCCCCCCCAAGGTTTGAGTTTGTGATAGGAGATGGATATGTATGTTTACTGGAGTGACAAATTATAGCATATGACGTGATCTAGATTCTAGAAGTGATGGTAACATTGCACCAAATATAAATGTATATTTTATCATACAATGCCTTAGTTCTGAACTGAGCTAAAGGAATTCTCAGCCTACTGCACTGTTGTCTTTGATAAGCTTCCAACCCAAAGGCCTTTCATTAAAAAAAAAAAAAAAAAAAAAGTAAAAAAATAAAATACTGTCAAACTTGAATGTTCCTCTTCAGTGTGTTACACATATGGCAGCCAGCTAACCCTGTGTCTTAGGTATGTTGTATATAGTTCTTTTCATATTCATAGGGTATATTTTTGAATTTTAAAAAGCATTTATTTGTTGAAATCAAAATCAAGACAAGCAGTCAAGAATAGCTGTGTATGAATTGGTAAGAATGGCTGTTTCCACCAGGAATTCTTAACGGTGGTCTGACTAGAATGGTGCCTATGCCAACCGAATAATTACAAAGACAATAAAAATGTAGATGCTATGCATTTCCAAAATAATTCTGCATCTGTTATAATAGCAGAAGTTTTTTTAATGCCACTTTAACACTAATGCACTGACAAATCCTAGATATTTTGTGAGGAAAGATGCATAAAGTACATGTTAACGTTTTTTTTAAGTTTGTATGATTGAGCTACTGTTCAGTATTCTTTTGTTGTTGCACTGTTGATGCAAATTTGTGTTTTGCATGTACGACTCCTTGCTGGAACGACTTTTAAAAGCAAGCTGGAGAGTCTCGGCGTGCTCTGCTCTTCCCTACAATTCAGAAGAAAGTGGCTTCTGCCTTATATTTTTACACTGTGTCAGAGTTCTGATGCTGTTTCTGACCCTGATAATACTCTCTGCAGTGTTCCTGTTGCCTTTGCAGTTTGGATGGTCAGCTGTCCAAACACGGAGAGTGCAGCGTGCACAGTATTCACTCGGCTCTGTTGCTCTGTAAAATCAACTGTTGTGTATATTTTTGTATCCCTGTATATACTAGTGTAGGTGATGGTACCCTTTCATTCATGTCTGAGATTGTACACCCTCGATCAGGAAACTTGAGTGATAGTTATGTGATAAAGAATTTCTTTCCAGATGCATGCCATGTATAAAACCCTACTTAAAATAAATGTTTGCCTTTTCACTTTCTTTCTAAATGATATTTATGTATTTGAAACTGTTGCAGTGACATTAAATGTATGGTTTTTGTCCTGATGTAGGCACTTACAGACAGCAGCAGAACTATAAACAATCAGATAACACATAGGCAAGCTGCAAACTAAAAGGGGATGTAAACTCGATTTTTAGTTCTTGTTCAGAATGGTAGTGGTGGGGCAGTGCTGTGGTGTTGTGTGTTTTGGCTTTTTTTTTTTTTTTTTTAAATCTAAATACTTTTCCATTCAGAAATGTCTTCAGAATTTTGAAAGAGGCAATCTTCAGTTTTTCAGGTCGAGAACTGAGCAAGCACTGAGGGATTTAACAGTTGATACTACTGGGGTCCTCTGTTTACCTCTACTACTTACAAAGACTTAAAAGGGGCTTCTTGTCATCATTCCTGGGAGGTTCTGAAGTGTCATTCCAGTTGTAGCCCAAATCTGTCCAGCAGTCACTGAAGTAATCATTTAGTACCAGAGCAGGCTTTTAATCATAAGCTTTGTTGCAAGAACAAAGGCAGTACACTTTCTGTAGAAGCTTCTTGGGAAACAATGGAAAAACATAGGCATGGCAGTGCTTCCGGAATTTACTTTTTAAAAAATGACTTAAAGTATTTAAGCTGGGCCTATGCCCTGCCTAGCTACTCTAGGATGGTTAAGGACTGAAATGTGCAGATGTAGCATTTTCTCCACTTTCACTGTTGATGTAAGTATGGTTTCCTCTGTCTTTGCTGAAAGACTTGTAGATCGATTGGCCAAACCCTTTACCCTGGGGCAAGATGTTTTAGGTTGCAGGATCCCACTGGTTAGTAGGGGACTGTATGTAATACTTAGCATATGCTGAACTGAGGTATACAGCTTCAGGTATTTGCTAAACCACATCTTTACCTTACCCTAATTAGGACTGATTAACAGAAGATGCAGAACTCAAGTTCAGAGGGATCTGTACTCATCTGCGTGACTTAACTGTAAGTTTTAGTTAGCCTTTGGAAGTTTTTGTCTAAACACAGCGGGGTGGTGGTGGTGGTGTGAGGCCATATCCATTACCTGTGCTGCTTCACAGAGTACCTCTGCTCACATAATAGAGATGGAGTTCTGTTGTCAGTTAGACATCCTAGCAAGATAGAGTGTATGTAACACCTGATAATTGCCAAAGTTATAAAATATCCAGGCTACTACCATATATAATGGCTAAAAAAAACCCAAACAACCCACAAGACAAACCACTGCCTTCTCCTGTAACTTATGAAGCAAAAATGTAAACAAAGAACAAAGCCATATTTTCTCATAACATTTTTCACATGCCAATGAAGGCAGAACAGACAACTGTTGCATGGACAATACCCTTCCTTACTTTTAAGATATAGCTGAAAGTTAAGGAACCCTTAAATATAGGCAGTTTTCCCTCTGTCTCCCTGAAGGACCTTACTTTATATGGAAATTGATTTTTGGCAAGCTATTTTTTATTTACCTTCATTTTCGCCTATAGCAAGGATCAAAGCTTTTGCTTTAGGCAGAAGTAATTCTTGCACCTTAACTTAATCTATGGAAAGATGGTGGGTGGGTTCTATGGTGGGTGCCAGCACTTACTGATGGAGGAAGGAGTTGGAAAAAATGGCCATTAACCTTTCTTCACTACATAGGTTTAAGTTACAGAAGACTAAAAGGATTTAAATATTTTCTTTAAGACTTTATTTAACTGATTATTCTCCTGCAGCTAGGCCTGAGAAGATGCACAGGGACAGATAACTAAAAAGGCGTAGGTATCTTCCTTTATATTGTTTGTACTGTCTTTAGTGTGTTCTTTTCTATAGTATGAGAAAAGGTGTGCATGACATCATCATATAAATATACACTTTTGAATTAGTAATTCAAGAATTTTTGCACTGTGTCATAGAAGAGCTGTAAGGTAGGAGGATATTTATTCACGAAACCCTCGTGGAGAGAGATTCAACCCTTTTAGAATAGGAGTTGCTTCTGTAGCTTGACATTCTTAGTATGCTTCCCTCCCACAGAAAACAGCTTCAAAGATTTTTAAAATGAGGAAGTGCAGTCAGTACTTGGTACATGAGTAGGATACACTGAAATGAAAACCTCCCTTAAATTTTGAAGAATCAGGAGACTCATTTGCACAATTCAAGGTGGTCTATTTTGAAATTATTACACTGAAAATAGGGCTGTGTCACCAAAATATAGAAAGTGGCAGTTTTACTCAGACTAGGATTTAGACTGCTACTGGTCTCAGATGTTACACGCAGCGAAAGATTTTAAGCTCTGAAAGATTTAAGTGTTCTAAAACCTGATTGAGCCTTCTCATCCACACATGTTTACATTCCAATGTGCATTTCTATATGCCAGTTACAAAGATGTTCAGATTAAATATTTAGTCATCCAGGAAAAAGTAGTTTCCACTCTTCTTTTGTTCCACGTCCTTGGGAAGAGAAGAAAAGGTCAATGTTACTTGACGTGGTCTTTGGCAGACTTGAACATAGCTGAACTAAAAGACACTAAACTCCTTTCTAGTTTCCTTATTACTCTTACTACTTGTTTCATGGGCTGTTTTCCAGCACTGCAAAACTACCCCATTAGTCTTCATTTTGTTCCTTATTTCAAAACCTGGCTTTATTTTAACAGTCATGGCTCCTTTACTGTAAAGGTGCTTCTCTCTTACCTTGATTGAGTTGAGTTTGTTTATTCTTGGTCTGTAGTTGTTGGGGTCTCTTCTAAAAGTGATTTCAAGTTGAGATAAAAACTTATTCATTCCAGCCAAAAGGGTCTGTGGACTGTGAGAAGAGAAGAACATTCCAGCTAAATTTTCAGAAGTTCTGTACTACGTAGCTTACAGGCAGCTTTGCTCTCCATCCTGAGCTCATTCAGGTCTGGTAATACAAGATGTAGCCCATGCTGGTATGTCAGATACAGCTCACATTGCAGTCAAGTTCTGTCTCGGGCAAGAAGATGTAACTACTACTCTCATCTTTCAGCGGTATCTCAGCATGGTGCTACAAGTCTGCAGACCGCTCCCTTCCCGTTTTTACTTTGTATCCACACGTGTGTGCGTGTGTGCACACTCAGTTATTTACATTCCAAGAAAAAACCAGAGCTGCACCATTAGCAAAATACAAGAAAGATCATAGCAGATACTGATGCTGAGAAACGGTTGCGATCATGATTTTTTTAATTCAGACAAATGTTTTTAGAAGGAATACCATCAAAACCAGGCTAGCAGTGTGTTGTAAACACAGTAAACACACTGCTAGACCAATGTGTTTACTTCATCTGGCTCGCATTAAGTACTTGGTAGTTACACTGTTCTAAAAGCCTGCTTTCCAATAAGGCTGCTCCTCAAAAAGTCTCTGTAATTTACATGAAATTATTTACAGGAGCAAAAGTAGACATCTGAAAAAGTAAAACTCACAGACAGTGTACATTACACGTTGCTGTCAAGACTTGCACTTCACAAGATTTGCATACAGGTACCCTCAGTACAGTGCTTGCTTTCAATACCTCTGAAAGTTATGTTCATAAGCACAGTTTACAATGGGTC